GACATCTACCATCCCAAAGAAGAGGCAAATGGGATACTTGACATAAACCAAATAAAAGAGGACCATGGTGGTGATTGACATTAAATAGCTTCACAAAATAAGTGACTTGAAAGGAAAAGAATAGTTGGGAACAAACTGAAAAGTCCAAAAGTCAACAAAAGGAGTTGCCAAGTTGAGAAGGGCACAGCCAGGTGTGGTGTGAAGGCAGAGGGGTGGGAGAGAAGAATTAAGAGCTGGAGGAATAAAGATCAAGGTTAAATTCCAAATTCCTCTTGTTTGTGAGTGATGCTGGAGCTGCTCAGAGATGGCAACACCTTCCTGCAAGGGCAGCAGCTCAAAGCTCCATTTACAGTCGGTTTTCACCACAGAGATTTCAGCAGTGACTGGAGAACAGGCTGCACCTCTGAGGAGAGGTGGGAAATAATCAAACAGCACTGAAGCTGTACTGGATGATGATGGACTGCTGAACCATCAGTGATGTAAGGAAGCAATTTGGAAAGGAAAAAGAGGACAGATTTCCTTAAGTACAGAGGGAGTAGGCTTTCAAAAGCACAGAGACTGTATCCCTGTCAAAAAGTCGATTTAAAATGAGCTCTCAGCCTGCCCAAGTAAATAACTGCAGGCACCATAGCAGAAGTACCTTGTTACAGTGCTGAGGTAGCGTCTGCTTCATTTTTAATCACAATTAATTGTGTGCTGAGATGAAAACTAAGCTGGGCTTTCATCAGCAGCTTCCAGCACACCATCATTTTCTGTCATCTCTGACAAATAGAGGAAGCAGCAGACTGAAAAGTGTCAGATCCAAGCAGTGTAGTTTACGCAACCTGATACAGAATCTTGTCTTTGGTTGTAACTATTTTCTACTCCCATTATCTCCTTAATTGTCACTTACAGGTCACCAGAGAAGTGGCTTATTTGAAGTGGCCGGCAAGATGAAAACCCTGCATTCATTTATAGTATTAAGAATTACTTTGAAAGGGATCTGAGGAGTTCGTATCTGACCTCCAGTGTGCTGGGGGTAGGAAAAGGGAATTTATCTGTGATGGTGAATGGGATTCTGCCATTCCTACACATTATCACAGACTCACCTTCTGCTTATCTGAGAACAAGAAAACTCACACATATCTGTATCTTTATATCTCAGTAACAGTTTGTGTGAGGTAGCTAAAGAGAGAATCCTACAAATCAGAAGAAACACTCAGTTCTGATGCAGTGGCACAAAGGTCTCCCCTTCCCTGGGGGCAGAGAAGGGGAAATGACTTCCAAGAGCTGTTTCATTCACAGGCTCCTCAGAACAGACCATGACACTTTCCAGCACCTACGACCTAATTCTTACTGGCCCATAAAAAATAAATCCCCACTCTGAGGGGAAAGCTGATAAAACTTCATTCTGACTTTACTGCATTATTTATGAGTCATATCAACAGAAAGTTATACTAGGTAGGAAGAGCTTCACCTTCCAGTAAGATTATTAAACTTTTGGGAGGGATTCATAGACTTCAGATGCTACCAAAAATGCTCCTCTTGGTGAGAAATTTTTACTTTCCTATGAAGGTTTTTCCTAACAGAAATTAAAAAAAAAACCTCTGAAATGCCACTTTTTTCCCTGAGGAAAAACTATTTGAGATTATTTATCTGCCTGTTTCTGAATTTAAAATAATGTTTAATAAAAGAATATTTAAATAATCACATTAATAATTATTAAATTATTTAAATAATGAAATAAATTATTTTAATAAAAAAAGTTTTTCTGAGTTGAAATAGCTTATTCTAGAACTTATATTTGACTTTCAGTGGTCACTACAGTAGCTGATACTTTTGTTGAAGATGATGAATGTATTAGCATTTTGCTTGTGTGATATTACATTTTGGAACCCCTTGGCACAGGAATTAGGAAGTGCAACAGTGTTCCAGGCTGACAAACAAATTAAATTAGGCCTGTCCTTCTTCACTCCAGAATGCCCAAAGAAATAGCATGGCACAGCTCAGGAGAGCCATTTACAGACTAGAAAAACAGAAACAAGCACAACAGAAACACATTCTCTGTGTGAAGGATAGGTTTCACCTTTGTGCCTGGAAGATTTCCCTCTCTCCAGAAGCATCACACCCCAAACACCCCCGGAGCACTCACCCTGCTCACAACACCTCCATGTCGGCGTGGACGGACCTGGGTGGTGAAAATCAAAGCAAGGCCCCACTGACAACATCCAAAACTCATCTGCCGAAGGAACAAAACCACGTTTGGGCTCCAGACTATCCCAAAAACACAAAACCACCCTGCTCCAGGCATCCAGTGCGCTCAGCTGAGCAGCAGAGCCAGGGAAGTGCTGAGGAACCACAGCTGTACGGGGTTTGCTCCATCTGAAATTAGGGAGCAGGGAGAAACTGGCCAGGCAACAACTCTTGACTTCAGAGCTGCCAAAGTGGGATGACACACAGGCAATAATTACATGCTGCAGTGTTACTAAAGCTGAGTTGCCCACAGGTGACTTCATGGCAGCAGTGGAGTATCTCAGGTGATCACTGCTCTGCAGTTTACTTGCTGTTTGCAAAGGAAAATGGTTATGCATCGGCATTTGGGTTGTAAATGACACCTTTATGTCATTCTCAGTTTATTACATAGCATGAACCTACTCAGAAGGCAGAAAGCAAAAAACAAGGAAATGATCCCAAGTGCTCCAGCAAGCAAAAATATTTGCTGTTACTTTGAAAATTTACAAACTACATTAGAAAATCTTACGCTTTCACAGTGCTGTCAGGGGAAAGGGGGTGGGTGTGTTTAAGTTTTACCCTACCTGTAAAAGTTTTTAATGAGTATGTCCCCACAGAGGCTGAGGGAACACAACCAGTTTGGTTTCACACCCCTGTGACAGGTAATGGCTTTTCTCCTTTGCTGTTGAGCAATGGTGAATGCAGGATTCTGCTCTGGGACATACCAGAAGAGTGACCGTAAGTTCTTCTGGTCTTTTTATAGAATCTTTGCATTATCACCAGAAATAGGGTGTGAAAAACTCAAATGTCTTCACAGTCAAACCTGCAAGGTGTATTTACAGCTGCTGGTCTTGACTTAATTATTAGATAGGAGTTTAAGAGGAACTATGTAGGCAGCAAAACAGGAATCTTTTTTTTAGCTGTAGGCAAGGGCAAAAAAAAAAAGTCTAGTCCACATGGTGTTTTTTGGTAGGAGGTAGATCAAAATTTGGAAGTAAAACCAAAATATCTTTGGATATTACAACATAGACATTTTAATCCAAAGACTGTGGCATTAAAATACATTTACAAACTTAAGATAAGCTCCTCATGTTCATAAAATCTATTTAAAAATGGGTCTGCTGAGTGTTACATTTGCTTCAGACCTTGTGTGAAATGCCAGGAGCACTGCACAGTTCCTGGTAATGAATCAGCTCCCCAGGAGCTGCGTGGGGAAAGGGGCTGTGCCTGGGCTGGTTGGATTTGGCACTGGGGCTCCCTTTAGTTGGAGATGCTGAACACACATCCAGCTCTGCCTGACACAAATTCCTGCTCTGTTCCAAGACCTGTGCCAGGGAATGTTGTTCACATCTTGCCAAACGCCTGAGCTAAACTGTGACAACCCAGAGGCAGCTGCTTTGCTGGTCTTTTAGCTGCTGGTGTAAGAACCTGGAATAAGGACTGGATCCTGCCATTCCCTCCTGCCTGTGAGAGCACCAGCTTGGTTCTCAACACAAACTGCAAGAAACTGTTTAATTGAAGTCGCTCTGAGGATGGAAATAGGCAAAGCCACATGAAATCTGGGTGAAGGTGCACTTGAGGACTTTTGCTTTACCTCTGGCCAGCCACAGTAACAGAAATCCTTTCGCTACTGAAAGAAAATGAGTTTGGCAGCAAGCAGGACTTTGAACTTGGAAAGCAGCTATATCTGAAAGCACCCAGAACTGTGTGGTTTAGCAGAACACAGGACCTAGCAGCAAGGTCTATTTATAATGTTGTGGCAGTTATCCAGAGAGGAAAAACTGGGACAAGCTGCAGCAAGAGAGGCAGAGCCCTGCTCCCAGCCTGCCCACAGAAAGGTGCAGGGACTGCAGGAGCTGTGAACAGCTCACACACAGCAGCTCCACTCCATCCTGCCTGCCCTGTGAACAGCTGCTCCTTGCACTGTCAGGGCAGCCTTGACTCCCTGAACCCCAGTGTGGCCTTTCCTCTGCAGCTCTCAGATCTGAGGAGCAGGAACCCTGCCTCTTCCTGGCCGATCTCCCTGAAAATAGAATTTTGGGATGCTGTGGGCCTGAGCTGGGCTGCTTGTGAGAACAGACTTGAGAGCCACAAAATGAGAGGCAGAGCTACAGACAGTCACATCTGGGCAAACATTTTCTTCCAGTTTTAATCATTAACCTACTCAGCCTTTTTGTTCCCTGCTCCACCCTGATGTTTCTGACAAGGGCAGCATTTTTCAGAAGCCACAGAGGGTTTAGCAAGAGGTTTTGTCATGACCATGACCATTTTATAGAGTTTTACAGAAGTCACAAGCTGCTTCAGCTACTGAAGAGACACCATAAGAGATGTTAAATTAATCAAGAACATCAATAACATGCATCTTCTACTAAAAATTACTTGAAAGTTTCAGCTTTGGACAGTCTGTGCAGCACAAATAAGCAGCAGAAGCCCTATGTGGCATTATTTTGTTTTGCTAGCAAGTGTTAGACTCAGTAGAAACTGAAATGAACAAGATGAAGGAAACCCCAGATGGGAGGGAATGAGCATTTGGAGATGTTCCATCTGACATTAGTGAGTCAGAGCTGCATTTGCTCTTCTGCTGATACAGGACACTGTCCCAAACATCACCAAGTTTGCACCATTGCAAACTCACATTAGAAGTTATTCAGATTTTATATTTAATTCTGTGATTTTCAGTTCCCCAACAGAGTCACTAAGGGGAAAAGCCACTACCTAAATGTATTTTTGACCTTGGGTAACATCAAGAATAATTGTAAATTACTTATTGTTATCATTCTATTCCCCAAGCTCCTTAAAAATAATCCAAAATACAAGAATTAAAACACTGAGCATACCAGTAGCAGCCCACTTCCCCTGAGCATAGTGTTCAATTGATTACAGGAGTCTTCCATGATTTTTCACTGTGCTCTCCTCACCCCTCCTCTCAGAGTTAAACTTGTCCTGGGATCACCTCTGTGTGCTGGTACACAAAGAGCTTTTCCCACCTCTGCAGACAACTGAGTAGCATTTGCAAACACTTATGCATTATGCTCATAAATTGCAAGATAAAAGGCTGCTTTATGAAGCTGAGCAACAGGAAAATGAATTAGCCTGCAAGCAGATGACTATCACCTACAGGAGACAGCCTTGTGGGAAGTCATTCCAGGAAAACATTGGGATATCACTTACCAGTTGGTGCAGTCTGGGCTGCAGGGACAAGTCAGCCTCTTTATCAATGCCATGACACATTTTTGTACAGCACCCATGTCTGGAGATCTGATTCCCAAAGATTTCTGCCAGAAAAGAACAGTCCCATGCACTAGGGGATGGAGAAGGGTTGTTGGAGCCTCCATCACAAATATATTCCCTGCAACCATGGCACTGTGTAGTTTATTCTTTCTGCTTGGGCAAAAAAAATTGTTATCCTAATTATTTTCTATTCTTCCAAACTGCATTTCCTGGACCCAGTTCCAGCAGGCCTCCAGCTGCTGCCCTGAGAGTCCTGCACAGTGAGCAGCTCCCCTCATGACACTCCTCAGTCTGTCCCTGCTGTTGCCTTCCTTTCCTCAGCAGGGAAAATGAACATTTTTATTCTGCATTTGAGCAGTGACCCACTGAATCATAGCCAGGGCTCACATTAAGAGAACAGAAGAGCAGAGAAAAGCCTGATCCTATATCTCAGCTTCTACACACTCCCCTCCCCACCCCCCAGCCAAAATACCCAAAGCTGCCTCCCTTCCTCCCTTATTATACCCTCTCCCCACCTGACAGAGTGCTCACTTCTACCTGCATCTCCCTAATTCCCACATCCGTGCCCAATTCCCTATACAGGGATGGGCTCAGTAATCATTAAGTTGAAATAAGTGCAGTAAAAGTCCACTTTATGGAAGTGGCATCAATATTTGACTTCAGGACACAGTTATTCTTTCCTTGGCAAAGTGTTAGGGCTACCTAAGGAGATAATGATAAGCATTGAGAGGAATGGGTTTATTACTTTTTTCCAGTGTGTTTTCCTGTGCTGTTCTCAGTGTCCCCTGCCACTCCTGTCACTCCTCCACAGAGTCCTTTTCCAGCCCTCACTGTACAGATGTGCAGGTCCAGATGTGAAGGTTGGGGGTGCTCCTCTTGTCCCTGTCCTGTGAGCACGTCCTGCTGCTGGTGCTGTGGGTCACAGGCTGGGCACAGGCAGGGGGGAGGCTCACAAGGCCATAAAACCTTTGGAGGAAGAAATTAAACCAGTTTTAAGAGCAGGAGAGAGGCACCTTTTCCTGCAATTGGCTCTTGGTTGAGGGAGCCAAGGCTCCTGTGTGACACATCCCAGCTCAGCCAGGTCTCCCAAAGCACAGACCTCTCTTGGCTGCTGAGCCTCACACTCCCAACTAGGTCAGGGTTGTTCTGCAGCTGTTTCAGGCTGAGTTTGGGCATCTTCAGTTGTGGTGCAGTTTCTGGTAATGAGCAGCACTGGGGAATGAGGCAACATGAAAATGCCTCAAGGAATACACAGTGAGGAAAGCGTGGCCCCACCTAAATGCTACATTTTTTTTGGCTCAAGTTTGTGCTGCTACTGCTTGACTCAAGTAATTTTTGGAGGGTGATCACCAAAACTGGGGAGGAACTTTCATGTTATAAGAAATTCAGGTTAAACTAATGGTTCAGTCATTTGATTTTTAAAAACATCAAACCTCCCTATTTAGAATGGAGATATTTTTATCTGTCTCATCCATCTAAATCTGGGGAATGGTTCATTTCTGTTCCCTCTCCAAAAATCTGTTTAGACCTCTAAAAACATGAGGGGAACAAAAATTCACCCAGTATCAGGCATTAAACTGAGAGCTAAGCTTTGTATCAGCTGCAGCAGCATATGAAATGCTCAGGAGTTATAACAAACTTAAGCCCTTGCAGGGTCCTTCCAGGTTTTTTTGTCAAGTTCTTTCTGGCAAATAAATGAAGCAGAATTGAAAGTGAACATCTACCAGTTGAAATAAACCCTCAGATGCTTTGGGTCCCCAAAACAAGAGCTCTAAAACCTGCAGGCCCCTCATTGCTGCAGTCAGGAGGGCACTGGATAAATCTGCATCCATGGGCTGGTGTTTGAAACTTCCTGTGATTCCAAAAGGAATTCTTTGGGAAGACATCTATCATATGTGCTTCAGCATCTTTTCAGGATACATTTCCCCTGCCTCAGTTTCATCCCATTATTCTAATTAAAACCTCTTTTATTATACAAATCATCTCCTCTCAGTTTTCAGTTATATTTCAAAATGCTGTGCATATTTCAAAAACAGTTGTTTCTATCTCTCCTTGGAAATCATCCTCTAGAGAAAGCTTCACCTATTTCCAGCCCTGTATCTGGTAATGAGGGATTTGTGTTCTTTGTGTGCTCCTCTTTGCCCATGAAACACTCCAGGTTTTCCCCCTCTGACTAACAGGAACTGAGGCTCCTGTTCTTTGGGTGGTTCATTATCCACATTCTCCTCTGGAAAAAGAGGAGCTGCCTGGGCTAAACCTCTCCTGTCAGCTTAGAAAGAAATTACTTGGAGTCTGTGACATGGCTGGAAACTATTCTTTCTGGCCCAGTGAGTCGGACACTTCCTTCAGTTCCTGTAATTGTGAGCTGCTCCCACTGCCTGACATGGCAATTCCACCTTTCATACCAACATCCAGGTGACTAAAATGCTGATTTTAGAGGTTGATTATGGCAATGACTGAGGAACACAGCTGTGGGGGATGATGGAGCCTGAAAAACCTCAATGATCCTGTGAATGCTGGCGTCTCCTCGTGCCCACTCATGCCCTGCACATGGAAACAGGGAATGTTATTAATGGAGATGGAGCCACAGCATCACAAACACAGCAGGAGGAGAGAAGTCCAGTGAGCTCAGCTTGTTGATTTCTCCTTCTTCCCAGAGAAATAAGTGCTCACCACCACATATTTTGAAGATTAACATCTGCTGTAGGAGAAATTTGGTCCGTATTTTCTCCAGAGTGAAAAGTAATCCCAGCCTGCATGGTGTGGGTGATGGGAAGCACTTCAGAGCCCCAAAACCACCTAAAGAAGACCCAGGGTGTCTGTGCTGTATCTGGCAGCATCAATTAAATCCTCTTCCTCCCCAGGCCTGGTAAATCCGTGCCTGTGCCTAATGGAGCAGACATGGTGACAATGAGAAGCATCTTTCACTGCAAGAGGGTTGTCTCCAAGACCTGCAAGCTGGTCTCAAATACCCAACACTGCCTGATCCCCAGCTTGCCTGGGATTTTTAATGGATTTTTTTTTGAGTTTGGAAGATTTACCAGTGTAACACACTTGTACAACACTTTGAACAAAAACTGTCAAATTCCTACTGATGGGATTCTGAAAACATCAAGCCTCAGAAGCTGAGTGCACTGGCTTTATCCCTGAAAGCTGTGGGGTTGGCAGGATTCCCCCTGCTTTGTAGCACAGCAGCACTTGCTGAGCCCACACCTTGTGGGGGTTTGAGTGTTGAGTATTTGAGTATTGAGGCCTCTGTCAGAGATCCTTGAGCGAGTCTGATATCCAGGCCACAGAAGAGTGACAGAATGAGCTGGAGTTTGGCAAATAAATCTGATTGTGTGCCATGAATTTGAGCAGAGGCAGCAAAGCAGGACAGTGGCATTGGAGGGAGAGGGGCTGTCCCAGGGCCAGGGGAACAGCAGTAGCCCCATACATGGTGTGGGGGCCCTCTTGTGGGCCCTGCTCTGCCACAGACCCCACTAAAAGCTGCCTCAGAAGGGATTAACATTCATGTTTAATTAGGATAGGGGCTATTAAGACTCCAGTGCAGCCATGGCAGAGGGCACATGAAGAACAGGATGTGGGGCTCCAAGGTTTTCAGGCAGGCTTTCTGCTGTTCTCAATAATTCAGGAACTACTGGAGTTTGAAAGGCACAGTTTTCATGGCTGACTCAACCACTTGCATCTCAGGTATGGAAATGCTGTCAATACTGAGACTGTGTTTTTGTTTTTCCCCATGTTCATGGATCCATTTTCACCTCCCAGGGAAGCTCAGCCCAGCTCACCCCTTCTTGCTATCTCCATCCCACACACATTTGCAGTCATTGCTAATAACAGCTGTCACCCTCTGATGGGAGGTGACCACATCAACACCCTCCATTTCCCTTGCTCCAGTTCCACTGTGGTTATTGGGAGCTGGGGGTTATAGATATATTTATATACAGTTGTCCAACCTGATCATCTCCTATTAAGTGTAGACACAAATGAATGTAATTAATAACTGTGAGAAGACAGGTTTTTACCACCTGCAAACCTCAAAGAACAGTACAGGAGCCATGTGCTGCTTCTAACCCTGTTCAGTGTGAAATAATTACACAAACCTCAAACTAAAAGACTTTTTCAAGACCTGCAAAATATGTCAAGGGGAGCAGAACCTCCACAAAACAGACCAAATAAAGATCACTTATTGCAAGGCCATGCTTAGTGGAGGTTTCAGCAGCAGGAACAGAAAGGTGCTGGTCCTGGTAGAGCTGTTCTTAATGGACAAACACTTCCTCAAGTAGAGTCACTGCCAAGCTGAACCTCCCCATCCGTGGGAAACAAATCTGTGCCCATTGCAGAAGCTGAACTGATGGTTTAGCTGGAACAGCTTGGTAATAACTCCCTCTAGAAAAGTGGGATAGTTTTGTTTGCTTCCCAGAGAGGATTTAGGGATTTTAGAAATACAAGTAAAAACCCTACCAGCACCACCCTATCCCACAAATACAGGGCTTTTACATCCACACAGCATCATTCTGATGTATGTTTTCAGCCTGAATTTCAGCATTTCTGTTTTAAGAAGTCCTTTGTGATATTTTTGGAGCAGGAAGGGACAGGAAGGCAGAGGTGTAGGATGGCTCTTGATGTAAATCAAGGTGGACTTTAAGCAATAGATTAGGTCTCTACCCAGGCTGATAATTATGAAAAATGGATTCCTCCCAGGGAAAACAGAAATTTCATTAATGCTTTCCAGCTATATTATAATCCTGGTGTCCCTCCAAGCATAAATTCACCATGGCACACAAAGCAGGGGGACAACCAACTGTGTTTTTCTGGTTAGCTCCTCTCTATGTTTATTCTTAGTAGTTTAAATAATAAATTATTTCACTGTCTCAGCTTGTCTGGCCTACTCAGCTGTGCTTGTTTTACATGTGGATTGTCTCTTGCCATGTTCACTGTGGAGCATAATGAAGCCCTGAGTGGCATCTAGAGACTGCTAACAAGGGTTTAGAGACAGAAAACTGAACACACCTACTTTAAACATCTTCTGTGGCTTCCTTGTCCACCAGAGATATTAAATTCCAATTATTTCCAGTTCAAATTCTGACTTTTTTCAAGCAAACCTTTCAAATACATTGTCAGTTTTCTCTGGTTTACTCTACAAACTATGTGAAAATAAAATTACATTTGTCCAGAGTGATATTAACTAAAGAAACAAGAATTATTAGTCCTCTAGATGGTGCTACTATTTCAAATAAAGCAGCTGGATATTTGAAGATTTCCTTGAAATATATTCTGTAGTGCCCCATGAGAAAGGACCACATGAGAAATCCTGACTCCTGTAAAAGAAGTGATGTCCCACAACCTAAAATTTCATCTCACAGGGCAGCCTTTGTACAAACATACTGACTGCTTCTCTTTAAAAGTAGTGTCCAGCAATGTCCCAGTATTTTAGTAAATTCAACAAAATTACAAGGGTTATTGATGAAAATTATCTGTACTTCAGGTGCAACCCCAGGAACAGCTGAAGGCCCTGGTCACACACCTGGTTGACTCAGGGAGAGCTGTGTGTGCACTCTGAGGGGGCTGTTGAGGCTGTTTATTCCAGGGATTAACTGGGGATGCAAAGAAAGAAGGTAAAACCATTAACCTTTTCTTGCCCAGCACAGCTGCACTGTGGCCCAGCACTGAAATATGGGGCCAGCTACCAATAAAATAAATTCTCTTGTCCTTAGTTCCTCTATGCTCACTTACTTTTCAAGAAGATGCTGAAGTTCCTCCTACTCTTTCCTCTCTTTCCAAGGCTCCCATCTGTATTTTCAGAACATCTGCCTCTTTTCCCTCTGATATTTTTCCTGATTCTCTTTGTAAATCCAGCCAGAAGGATTTTCAGCACCAGATTTTTCCCCGTTGCTGTCAAAGCCAAGAACAAAAACTTTCTAATTTCAAGATTATTATTGTTGTACATTGTTATACATCTGACCTTTGAAACATATATTCTCTATAACCACTATCTCTTACTTTGTGCAAAGTTCATCTGTTATCTAAATAAATGTCAAATTTGGGGTCTTGTTAAGCTTTTAGCTTCAGTAAAATAACTGTGAATTTCTGGAGTTTACTCAGACAGTGTAAAAGAAACATTTTTTTCATTGATTTTGACTATTCAACCTTTAAAATTTCACAGACTGTATTTGTTCATGTGTTATGAGAAAATTATTTTCTATTCTTTCCATGTGCCCATTTAGTTATCTGCTTTCCAAGAAACTTTCCCCACAGGAACATCTCTCTGGGCCCTTGGTGACTTTTACTGCTCTTTTATGAGTGCTTTTCCAGTGTCACAATAATTTGGTTGGTTGGTTTTTGAGGCAGCAAAGTCAGAAAATCAGGGCCTGTGCGTGCTCACAAAAATAATTGTTTAATACAAGAGATTCTAGAAGCAGACAGAAGATTGTCTTAAAAGTAACCATGAAGACATGAACTTAAACAACAAGTAGTTTATTTAGCATACTTAGTGTAATAAATAAATCCTTGCACATGGTAATTCCGTAAGTCCTCTGACCTTTTTCCAGAAGTCCCTGTTCCTTTAAATGAAGTGCTCTATTGTCCTTGTGAGGACCAGCACAGGCACCCAGAATTAGACTGACTTTGGAATTGATTCTTTCAACACCTCAGAATCTTCTGGCTCAAAAAAAGGTTCCAAAACAGGTTTTAATTTGACTTCTTCTGGCAGCTTGTGAGGCTCTTCTCTCCTCTTCTCTCCATCTTTTAGAAGTGGAACCAATGTTTTCCAGTGCTTCCCTGAAACTAAAAACAAAAGGAATGGTTAATTTTTTTCCCCCTCCCCAGAAACATAAGAAAATATACAAGTGGTTTGAACAGGAAGGTGATGAAAGAAGAAAGAAGCAGGAAGAAAGAACTTTGTGGTTTTCTTCCCCATCCTGTTCCACAAGTTTTCCATATTTCAGCTGGCAAGTACTGACTGCACAGTTAAATGCTTTGGTGCTGGATGCTGAGCTCCCAAACTCTGGGACTTGGGGTCTCCAAAGTAACTCCTTGGTTTTCGCTCCAGAGAGTCAAACTGGGAGCAATGAGCCCATTTCATCCTTTGCATTTTGTGCAGGCTGAAAACGCCATCAACTCAGTCACTGCACTGCCAGTAGGTGCATAGCACTGACTGCCCTCTATCGATTAATCCATGCTGCTGCTATCAGCAGAGTGCAGCCCACACCAGGATTTGTGTCCCTGAAAGCCTCACCTCTGCCAGGCTTAATGGAGAAACTGGGATTTCGTCTGAGGTCCCCACAATACCCAGGGTCTTCGTTGATTATGCCCAGGTTAGTGTTCCACGTGGACCAGTTCACTTCATCAACCCTGGGGAGACAACAAACCCAAGATCTATTCTAAGGATTACCAGACAGCTCCAGGATCAGTTTATACCACAAACTGTCACCTCTCAAGCCTCAGATCTGACCCAAAAACCAGATTAAACTGGCTACTGCAGACACTATTAGTGCTCTATTCTTCAGAGTGCTCCAGGGGGAAAGTTCCGCTTCCCACCACCAGATACTTGAAATTGTTTGCCTACAAAAGACTGTTGGCTTGATACACAAACAAAGAGGTTACCTGAAGCACCATCTGTAATCATCTTGGCCATCAGGTGTGATCCCCACCAAGACTTGCTTCCCAGAGCGGAACGAGTGCCTCAGGCAGTTCAGGTAGCTGTTCTCAATGTCCAGGATTGTGATGGCTCTCTGCCAGGTAAGAGAAAGCAGAGCACTGAGGGGCTGCTGGTCAAAGTCAAACAAATCCTGAATTCTGTCTTTGTTTCAAAAACCCTGAGTTTTTATCATTGCAAACATCTTAGGGCAGATATCACCCTTTGTTAACATGTCACTGAAAATGCTGAATTACTGTCCTGTCAATAAAACTAGAAGTTCCCTTTCTTATCTCAAACAAAAACTGATTCTGTTAAAGATTGGTTTTCCCCTTGCATAATCTCTTTCTTCATACTCTGATCAGGATTCTCCATCATACAAAGCCCAAATAATTTTGTCCAATTATAAAAATACTTCTTTTCTTACATTCTGAACATCTGTGGAACACTGGGAACGTCTGCTTAGGCAAAACATCAAATATACATGGAAAAGGAACTAATACATTTTTTTTTAGGACCTGTTCAGGTGAATCTGAAAGAAGCAGTGACCTGTAGATACATCAGCTCTTAAGATTCTCTCTGAAATCTCTTAGGGTTTCCCACACCATTTTTTTTAGACAGCAGCCTCACAGAACCAACACACCTGGAGTTTCCAGATGCTCTTACTCTCCTGTGCAATTTTGTTGACAGTCTCCCCCATCAGTGCAATGAGCATGTTGAGCAGGAGGATGTAGGTGAGGATGACATAGAGCACCAGCAGGATGACAAACACAGACTTGAACCTGTAGTTCTCTGTGAACTCCAGGTCCCCCATGCCAATGGTGAACTTGAAGAGCTCCAGGCAGGTGTAGTAGAGGCTGTTGTAGGAGGTGCGGCCTCGTTTTGTGTGGCAGCACCGTGCATAGTCAGAGATATTTGTGTCCTGCCCCTCGTTGTCATCTTCAATCAAAGTCACCACAGCTGCAGCAAAAAGAGAATTACATTCACACAATGGAAACACAGTTTGAGATCCTAACTTCATTGCAAGCAATGAAAATGAGCAGAAAGGTAACACACATTCCTTCCACGGCACATTGGCCCCAGGGAAGCTTCCCTATAAAATGTTCCCCAGAACTGACACCCTCTTAAGCAGGTGCTAACTTCGTTTTCTCCACATAGAAAAGGATGACTGGTTTTCTATTCAGCTTTGCAACCCAGGGATGAAAAGCTGTATGAAAGTACTACAGATTATTGTTGCTCTGAAGAGATTTGGGTTTTTTAAGTAGGTTAATTTGTTAGTTTTTAGCTTGGAACAAAAAGTCTAAGCAACTTGAAAACTAAAATTTTCTGAGATTCTTTAAGGTAACAAAAGGTAATTCCAAGTAGAATACTACCTGTAGAAAATCCCAAAAGGAATACAAGATAGACAAACATGAAGCGACATAAATCTCTAAGAATCATCTGTAACACAGAAAGAGATGAAAAGATTTTAAAACTTGTATGTAAACTGCAACAGAAACTGGTACTGCTTTGGCTCAAGAATGCATTTGTTCTGAATTGGCTGTTCATGCATTGAACTGTTGTTTATCCAGATGAGATAATAAACTTTAATACAGGAAACATTTTTCTCGTATTCATGGAACAATTTACACACAAATGCAACATATACACATGGGAACAGTTTCCTTTTTGTAAGTACAAACCACATAAAGGCAGTTGCATCTTTCTTCCCCTCTTGGGCTGGCTACATGACAGAGAGGTTCATTAGCCAGTTACTGCCTCTTAGCTAATTGCTGTGTTTGGCAACATTTTATCTATACTTGGAGAAATTTCCAGCTGGTAGAAAATTGGGCCATCTCACACCAGAGCAGCCTGTACTGTTCTCAGTCTCCTTGCATCCATGCTTACCCAATTATAGTTATTTTGAAGCATGGCAGGTAATAGAAGTCATCATCATCATCATCATCCTATCAATACTACTATAAAACATGTGGGTGAAGAGCAGAGGGTTTTTCTATATCACTTAAATTTTATCATTTCACTCAGAAAATAGTAACAAAGGCTAGCAGAGTCACATGAGAGGCAGACATGGCCATTTGTGCCCTGGAAATGGGGCTGTTGGCAGAAGTTCCTGCTCTGAGGCTCTGCTGCCTCCTCAGTCGCTCCCTGCACTGACCTTGGCGATCATGACGGAGTAAATTCCCATCTGCTGGAAGCCCCGGGTGTAGTAGAGCATGTTGGCCCAGCCCAGGGCCAATGAGAACACCATGGAAGCCACATAGAGCTCCTGGCCACAGAAGTACAGCACCACAGAGCTCAGCAGGAGCAGGGAGTGGACAAAGCTGGAAGACAAGAGTGGTGTGAACACAGAGGGCTGAGCTGGCCACGGGTGCTGGGAACAGAGCAGAACAAGGGATTGTCCAGCTGGGAAGAGAAAGGGCCTTGGAGAGGCAAAGCTCCCTTATGGGAGGATTTCTGCATAAACAATGCATAAATCCCACTTGGAGATCTATTCCTAACTCTGCTGCCTGACACACTCAACATTCAGACACTTAATTTGCTTTACCTCCACAGGAGGTCACTGATCTAGACCCATTTGTTCAGTGATAACCACTGGCAACTCTACCATTGTAAAGACCCAGGAATTACAGAAAAGCTTCTATTACAGGTGGCTTCAGCCTGAACTATAGATCCCACACATTCATCTGTTTCAGGCTGAGATGCAATCAAAGATATTAGAGCTTACAAAAGAACCTCACTGTAGCCATCAACTATCAGTGTCCTGAGTGATGGGCGCCTCTGCACGAAATACTGGATCTGAAAAGGGAACAAAGACCAGGTTTGCATCAAGGAAATATTAAGTATCTCCTGTGAATTAATTAACTAATCACTGAGCCATGTATCAGGGAGCTGGTACCCATAAAACACCTCATAAGAATGGTTCAAAACCAACACTGGTGCAAGATCTACCTTTCCAGTAACACCAGCTCAAGGAAAATCATCTGTACCTCTTGACTAAAACATGGATTATCTAAGCAGTCAATGCTCATGAATAGGAAAAGCTTGTTTGCTTCTCTTCTCCACCTACCCAAACAGGGAAAGGAAAACTTTCAAATATCTTACCCCTCTTAAAAAAAAATATAGGCCTCCCAGTACACTCAGGATCTCTCCAGCTACTCGAAAATATTCCCCAGTGCTGTAACCAAAGGTGAAGGGAGGCTGTAGGACACAGGAAAACAGATATGTTCAGCAGAACTGGAGATAGGAAAGACCT